TCTCTCCAAAGTTGTCAGGAAGCTGCTGAAGCTGGTCGCACTCAGTGATCAGCAGCTGCTCCAGATAACGGCACGGGTATTCTGGAGGGAACATGCGTTCGTATCGAGGGCACCATCGCTTGAATGCCAACGACTTCAGTCGAGAAAGTTGTGCCATGAAAAAGGCGCCAGGATGTCGATTACTTTCGTATAGCCAGGTTTGGTCTTCCAGCGCAAGGCTTGTCAGGTTCGGGAGGTGAACGAGGCTGGAAAGCTGCTCGTAGTCCAGCTCTCTGGATGCAATATGGATGGTAGCGAGAGAAGAAAGGTTTCTGAGCTCAGGAGCTGCTAGTGCTGATGCGTCTGTCAGTGCAAGCGTGTGCAAATGCAGTAGCTGGTAGAAGGACGCTGGTAGGTTAGCATCGTGATGCAGACAAAGGAGAGAAAGCTTCTCAAGTCGAGTGCACTGGCGGAAAAAGTGGTCCAAACCGTCGTCAGTTAACGGATGCTCAAACCTTAATGAATCAGAAACTACCTGTGTAATCCTCCGACCAACGTGTAGAGAAGTCAGCTGTGGGCATGACGAGGCGAGGTGAGCGAGGAAGGCGTCGTTTAGGGTTTCAACGCTGCCGTCGCACAGACGGAGCTGGGTGAGGCTCGGGAAACGGGAAACGGCGTTAAAGAGGACTCGGAGGGAGACGACGCTGTCTTTGTTGACGACAAGCTTGGTAACAGATCGTTCGTAGAGACGGCGCCAGCGACGGCAAACGCATGCGGTGGGACGGCTCAGCTCGACATCGACAGGAATCGGCGGCAACGGTTTTAGCTGTACCAACCATCTATCCACAACTTTATGATCCGAGTAGAGGGTGGTGCGATCAAGGTTCACGGAGGGCCATTGAGAGTCACTGTCTGATTCGCAAGGCGTCTTGGATTGCCATAAGATCCTAACAAGGACATCGTCAGGAAGGTCGTTGATGCTTACGCAGGACTCCATCTCCAAAGAAAGTGACTGAATGATCGAGGGGTAAGAGACCGTTCAGAAATGATATTGGCAAGACTGAACTGACGTTGCGATGGTGACTACACGCAAAGCTAAATAGGATTGTGGTCAATGGCCGGAGTTAGCTCTATTATCGACCAGAACAAGAACCTTCCTATTCCGTGTGCAACCAGCTGATCCCGTTTCGACAATCCCAAGGTCGTCCATTTCCGTGCTTCCCTCCCTCCCCTTGTTCACACCGAATCGAGAGCCCTATTGGGAGAAGCGAAAGACATTGTAAGGGCGTGTTCGCACATGAGTGGTACGAGTTGGACCCCTAGCAGAAAAAAACAGGATCACTTGCCCCGTGAACTACTTGTGAAATTCAGCGAGACAGATTTTCGCACTTTGTTACGCGTAGGGGTTGACGACGAAATAACCGAGACACAACGAGCCAGGCCCTGTTTGATAGGACCTGCCCTTTCTCTCACACAGAGAAAGCCTACGAGATTTTCCTGCGCTTGGGAGAAATGGCTTCACCAAGCCGCAACAACAGTTTTCTAGACCGGCCTGTTCGGAAAATGCTCACGAGAGTGAAGTGACGAGCGGCCATTGCTGCTAAAAGCCGATTCGGAGTACCGTAACGCAACTTACAGCGCTCAATAATTTGTGGTATTGCTACGGTCGACCTGGTATTTGTAGATGTCGCAATTTCCCATCGCACCGTCGCATCGCATCTGTTTGACTAACGACCTTCAGGCTAAAATCCCTTGAACGCTGGTCGGGCTTGACGATTCATTGCTTCTACAACGTCGTACGAATCGTGTCCGTCAAGCGAATGAATCCACCCGCATCCCGTCCACTGTCGCAATGCAATTCTCCGTCGCACCGTCCCGTCGCACCGTCCCGTCGCACCGTCCCGTCGCACCGTCGCACCGTCGAGCATATTAGTCCACCCGCACCGCTCCTACTGCCGAACTGCGTCTTCCGAGGCTCATCTGTACAATTTGCTATCGCACGGTCGCACCGTGAAGCATATTAGTCCACCCGCATGCTCTGAAAGCTGATCGGGCTCACCTTGCATGCTCTCCCACGATGATTCCCTGAATGCTGTTCGGGCTCGACATATCAGTGCCTTAGCACTGTTGCGAGATCATATCCGTCGAGCAGATGACTCGAGCTGCATCATGCGGCTCTGCCGCATCGTTCTCTGCTGTATGCCCGCCCAGTAAGCACGCGAACGGACCGACGCGAACGGACGGACGCGAATGGACGGACGCGGATGGTCTGACGCGAATGGACGGACGCCAACGGACTGGCTTGAACGGAATGATGCGAACGGACTGACTCGAAAGGAGACCGGCGGGTTTACAAGGCGGAAGCACGCACTGGCGATGCTAAACAGCGGATGCACGGCGTGCGTCAACGTGTAGGGTGGGATTCCGCGGACAGGTGGTGTGAGCCGAGTTGACGAAGCTGGTGTATTAGAGAACATGAGGGCGCACGGTGAGTGTGAGGGATTGCGAGGAAAGGGTTCAGAGGGAAGTTTTCGAAAGGAGCTGGGTTTTTTAGGCATGTTTCGCTGCATGGTGTGTTGTGCGTGAGAGGGATGTTGCGAATGGGTTGTAGGAGAGTGCTTCTCGACTTATTGGCATGACATGCTACAGGGATGATGCATGATGGGATGATGCATGATTGGATGATGCATGATTGGATGATGCATGATGGGATGATGCATGATGGGATGATGCACGATGGGATGATGCATGATGGGATGATGCATGATGGGATGATGCATGATGGGATGATGCGTGATGGGATGATGCATGATGGGATGATGCATGATGGGATGATGCATGGTGGGATGATGCATGATGGGACGAGACCACATGGTAAGTGTCGTCGTGACACGTGAAGGCATGAGACGTAGGATGGCATTGCTTGTGGCGGCATGACACATTATGGATGGTGCATGATGGGATGACATATAGTGACATGACGAAAGATCGCATTTGATGTGAAACGAATGAATGGGCGTCAAATGGCATGGTTTCTACGTTCACCGACCGGATTGGATACAACATATCATTGCCAAACTGTCAATGTAGCTCCCTGTGTCAAACAACCAGCTTCTCTGCCGGATACAAACTCATTTCTCACTCCCCCCTTCCCTCCATTGGCCCTCTCATCTCTCGCCCGCCTCCTTTTTCCAGGAAATAACATTTCATTAATTCCATCGTATGTCCCTCATGCATGTCAGGCCCATAGATTGGTCAACCGATTGCCATCCTGTGATCCCATCGAATCCCCATGTTTCTCCCCAACCCTCCATCCCACCCCACTCCAAACCATCTGCAATTTCTCCCCCTCTTCATCCTCCGCCTCCTCCCTTTCCAGCATCCCTCAATCCCCTTTGGAAGATTCTCTCCTCGAACCACCCCACCCCGTTTTTTCCCACGTTTCTTATCCCTCTGTCCGCAACCCTCACGTGGCCTGTTTATTCGTTCCCAGGTTCCCAGGTTTATTTGTGTATGTACTCCACCCCTCTCCCCACTCCATTGTCCGCTACCCTCACGTTGTGCGGAGGTATGCCACTCCCTTGTGTGCTCGTGTCCCCACCCCACTCATTCATGCCCTGATCCACTTCCCCCCTGCTAGAGCGCACAAGGCACAGGCTGCATGGCATCAGGGGTCATGAGGGATCGTGAGGGGTCATGAGGGATCGTGAGGGGTCATGAGGGGCGTGAGGGATCGTGAGGGGGTCATGGGGGTAATGGGGGTCATGAGGATTCGTGAGGGGTCATGAGGGATCGTGAGGGGTCCTAAGGGTCATGAGGGTCATGGGGGTCATGAGGGTCATGGGGGTCATGGGGGTCATGGGGGTCATGGGGTTCATGGGGGTCATGGGGGTCATGGGGTTCATGGGGGTCATGGGGGTCATGGGGTTCATTACGGGAGTCATGAGGTTCATGGGTGTGAATGAGGTCAAGAATGCTGTGAGATGACTGCAGTGAGGCGAGAGGGTTAAACGAGGTATGTCTCATGTGCCTGAGATATATAGGTGTTACTTTTGAGAATTCCCAAAAGTAACTCCAATAATGTGTCAAACGAGGTGTGTCTCATGTGCCAGAGGGCAACAGCAAGCGGAGGGTGAAGAATGATAACACCTTCTGAGGGCAACACCTCAAAGGACCCGAGGTTCAAAGGAGGTGTGCATTGACGCCTGGCTGAAACACCATGGGCAGGGGGAAGCATGATGCAAATTTCCCTCCTGCCATCCCCTTATGCCTTCCCCTCCTGCCTTCCCCTCATGCCGTCCCCGTCGCATGCCTTCCCATCCTGCCTTTCCCTCATGCTTGTCCATCGTGCCATCCCCACCGCATGCCCCCTCATCCCATCTTGGCAGAGATTGGTAGTCTCCACACACTGACTTGTTTACCCATGTGTCGAATTTCCACTCACATTGCATTGCACATATTCGGTGCAGCAGGGGGTGCTTTTAATGATGGGCTTACCTTGCCATAGTCATGGTGCTGCAGCTATGGTGCTCTTGCTGTTGCTGTTGATGCAGCGCAAGCTCACAACTGCTGAATTCCAGGAGTGTACCGGTAATATCATCAGCCCAGGGAACTCTGTTTGTTCTGCGTGTGATGAGTTCATGCAGTATATCAAAACAGCACAAAGTGATGTCTTGTGCCCACCTTCTATTCTCAGTACTGTAGTTCAGGCTCAGTTCAGTTCAGGCTCAGTTCAGTCTCACCTTGATCATCGCAACACCCTGATGGGTTACCTCCAGAGGCATCGAATTCACACAAATGCTTCTCAAAAGCAGGAACAAGTCCACCACATTTGGCGGGGCAGCATGCAAGGGGGGCACCAATAGACACTGCCGGTGGTACCGTATTAGCCACTGGCAACTCAACTGATACATGATCTTGACAGGAGTTACTCAAAACCAAGAAGAACAGCAATACCTTGATTCCAGTCAGAGTGAGTTTAGTTAGTCCCCTCTGGCTGAGCATTTTCAAGAGAGGCTAGGCTACTCGCCAGCAACGTCTGTCCTCAAGTCATACATTCTATTAAAGCCACGTTCCTGCTCCTTGCTCACACTGTCAATCGCGGTCTCACTCCCCTTCACCCCTAAGAACCGCAGCATCTTGAGGTCGGTCAACCCCTCTGGCAGCACCTGCAGCTGCTTGCACTCGCCCAAGTTAAGACACCTCAGCCTGGTCAGCTGCGCAATGCCGGGAGGAAGGGCGCGGATGCATGTTTCCTCCGCGTTCAGCTCGTGAAAACACGAGAGGCGGGTGAGGGAGGCGGGGAGGTGCTGCAGCACTGAGCAGTGGCACAGGCGCAGCCTCCTCAGCCTGGATAAGGCACCCATGCCATCCGGGAGTGAGGCTAGCTGGGAAGCCCACTCCACGTCCAGCGATGTGAGGTGCCGGAGCAGCGTGATGGTCTCTGGCAGCTCAATCAACCCCTTGGTGATGTGCAGCCGCAGCTGCCGTAGCTGCCGCAGGTCGCACCCGAGGTCGCTTGGAAGCTTCTGAATCAGTTTCGCGAACGAGATCTTCAAGAATCGAAGCTGCGGGAACGGAAACCGAGGGAATGGAAACCGCTCAACGGCCTCTCCAATGGATAGATCCAGATACTCCACATTTTCCAGATGTTTCAGATGCGGTGAGCTGCTGATGCTGCTGCTGCTGCTGCTGCTGCTGATGGTGGTGGTTCCGGCTGCTCCTTGTCCTGTGCCCTCCAGCTTCAGAGTCAATCTCCTTAAATTCAGCAGCACGGAGAGATCTGGCAGGGAGGGGACTCGGTGGGGGAGCTCTAGGCTGAGAACCTCAAGAGAGCGAGGCAAAAAGTCAGGAGGTTCAGTGAGCATGGGGCAACCTATCAAATCCAACTGCTTGAGCCTCTTCAGGCTGTTCAGGCTGCCTGCTATTGAAGCGAGCTCATAACAATGCTCGATTGTGAGAATCTGAAGGCTGCTGAGAGCTGTGAAGGACGCCGGAAGCTTCCTGATTGGGCAGTTACGGATATGCAGCCCGTCCAGCACCAAAGTCTTCAGAACAGGCAGCTGCCCGAAATTCTCGGGCAGGCTGCGGAAATACTCGCAGGTGGAGATAATCAAAGTCTCCAGATTGCTGAGGGAAGTGAAGTCCTCAGGCAGCTCAGAAAACCTATCGCACTCGCGGATGGAGAGTTCCCGAAGGCGCGGCAGCAGCTGTGCAATGTCGTCAGGAAGATCCACGTCTTTAAACTGGGAGATCAGCAGCCGCTCGACGCTGCTGCTCGGCTCTCCTGACGGGAACAAGTCGGGACAGCATCCCGCGAATTCCAGCGACTTTAATTTCGAAAGCTGTGCGATGGGGAGAGCAGCAGAGTGGTCAACTTGCGTTACTTGCGAGATGGAGATGCTGGTGAGGCTGCGCAGGTAAACGAGGCTGGAGAGCTGCTCGCACGTGAGTTTCAGAGATGCAATCAGGAGCGTGGTGAGGGAAGTGAGATTCGCCAGATCAGGAGCTTCTAACGCGGACGCGTCTGTTAGAACAAGGGTGTGCAGAGCCGTTAGATGGAAGAAGGAAGCCGGTAGCTTCGCGTCTGGGTGGAGGCAATAAAGGGAAAGCTGCTGCAGCTGAGAGCAACGCCGGAAGAAATGGTCTAAGCCAGATTCAGATACGGGGTGTAGATCTACCCGCGAATCGCTGTGAGGAGGGTATTTGCCCAGCGTATGCGTGATTCGACGTCCTATGTGGAGGGCTGTCAGCTTAGACCCGCATGACGTGGCGAGGTGAGTGAAGAAGCCATCGTCTAGGGTTTCTACGCAGCTGTCGCTCAGGTGGAGATGGGTGAGATTCGCGAAGCAGGTGACGGCGTTCGAAAGGTCCTGGTAAGAAACCACGATGCTTTTCCTGACGAAAAGAGTAGTGACGTAACGCCGAGCGATCCTTCGCCAGCGACGGCAGACAGACGCAATTAGGAGATTTCGCGCGGCGTCTGCGAGGATAGGAGTGGGCAACGTCTGTAACGGAATCTTGTCGTCGTCACGGTAATCGTAGTCGAATATGGGCTGGATGGGTTTATCTACGGACGGATCTGCATAGATATACCTGGGCTCGGGAGTCAACAGGGCCCATAATGCGTCGCTGTCAGAATTGCATGTAGAGGTCGACTGCTGCTGATTGGAGGAGGAATGCCAGAGGATCTTGATGAGGAGCTCGTCGGGAAGACTGTGGATGGGACAGAGGTGCTCCATTTCCTCACGGGGAAAGGGCTGACGGTGCGAGCCGATGCTAGGAGATTAAGAGGATGATACGAGAGTGAGCTGATGCGAAGAGAGCGAGCCGATGCGACGCGAGGGAATTCATATAACAGGTAAGCGGCATTCGCGGCACTTTATGGGTGTATTCTGAGACTTTGCAAACAATCTGGCAGCTGTGACGACAAAGAAAAAACTAGACGCGAAACTGGAGGCGAGTTCCGTTCCCACAACAGCCTCCATGCAGGTTTTAGGATACGCGCGACGTGAAGCAGCAGGAGAAGCAGCAGCAGCAGCAGGGGTCTAGTAGTTCTGTACCTTGCTTATGCAGTGCCAAGAAGAGTTGTCCTGAAGAGGTCAGGAGGGATGAAATCCACAAACCGTAAACTACCGTCTGGGAACTTACTGAACCGCACAGAACGATCACCCTGATTGGCTAGGGAAGCAGCCTTGTTGACGCAACAGTTCGAGCTGTGACGGAGCAGTTTCCTCTGCTGGACCGAAGGTGTGTGATTGAATACACTTCAGTGCGGTACGTCGCAGAACGTTTGTTGTTTACAACAGAATGGTTGGGAAAGGTTGAGACTTGTCTGAACAAAATCAACAGCTGAGCCAAGCCAAACCTGCCACAAACCGAAGCCGAGGTGTTATCGAGCTTCTGCCGAGGCTCGCGTTCTTGAAGCCTCCCATCACAGCACCCAGACTTCGCTGCCCTCGCCTTCCTTTTCGTTTCGTGTGTGTTGTGTTCGCGAGATTTGCGAAACTCGAGAATCATCGTTTGTATTTTGCCAGAGAGGGGCATGAATGACCGCACGAATTCGTAGTCAGATTTGACGAAAAGGTGAGGGGTGTGCGAAAAGCAGTTGCTATCCATCATGGAGGTATTACTTGCCCTCCTACCACACAGCACCTGATATCGTAGGGACTGGTCATAGGACGAATCGCCGCTGCAATTGAGATCGCACTTCACGCCGCTTTCGCGGGAATCAAAACGCCGACTACTTCGTTTCTTACCTTAGAAAATAGCGGCCATGTCCATGCTCGCGTGTCCTTTTCACATCAACTCCCATCCCGACGATCTCATTATTCGCATTCTGTTCTTTATCCGACTCATAAGCTAACCGCGCGCTCGGCGACGCACTTAAATTCTTAACCACGGCCCATCATGACGTACTTATCTCGAATCAACTCCTATCCCGACGATCTCCTCATTAGCATTCTGTTACGGCTCCTCGTGACGACCCGCGAGCTCACAACAGGCCCTGCCTGCTACGCACTCGTCCGGGGCTACGATCGTCCCACCGCAGCCCCACCGTCACGATCTCCTCTCGGAAAATCATTGCGTCTTCGGTCCTGCCTGCTCCGCACTCGTCTGGAGTGCGCCGTCTGGTGCGCCTGTCTCCGCTCTGCGCCGGATCATCCCGCCTCAGCCCCGCCTGCATGATCTTCTCTCGGAAAAACATTGCGTCTTCGGTCCTGCCTGCTCCGCGCGCTGCGAGCCGCCGGAGTCGAGCTACTATCCATTCAGCCCGCCCCGATAATCCGCGCCCCGCACCGAGTTCTCCCACGCGCTCGTCTGCCGCCGATGGCTCTCCATCGCGCTGCCGTCGCTCGCCGTAACGGGATGCTCCTTTTTGTCCCCGCAAGCTCGGCAACTCTTTCTCTCTATCTCTCTCTCGCGTTTCCCCAATCTGATTCGAATTCAACTCGGTGTCCTAGCCGTGACGCTCCTCGACGCGACGCTCCTTCGCCCACTCGCGGATTCCTGCCCGCGAGTAGTCTATCTCGACATAGCGCATGGTGGGGACTCGTGCACGCGCGTGGGGGCAGGGAGCAAGGCCTGGAGTACCTGTTTTCCAGGTGCACGCGATTGGAAGATGCACGGCTACGATTCGTCGACGAGATCGAGCTCCTGCCCGAGTCGCTCCTGGCTCTTCCGCGGCTCCGCGTGCTGCATCTGCTGGCGCTGGACCTGAAACATGATTCCTGCACGTTCAGCTAGCGAAGACACGTGAAGCACGTGAGGCTCTTCCGATCAGATGGCGCTGGACCTGAAACAGCTAGATTTCTTAAACCGGGGGGAGGATCTCAGGCCAATCACGGGACGCCAGGTGCATCTGCTGGCGCTGGACCTGAAACAGCTGGAGGCGGAGGGATGAGGAGACGAGCATGGGAAGGATGGCTACACGACCTGCCATGCAGGGCTGTTTATTGGCTTTTTTTTTTTTTTTTTTTTTTTTTCCCCGAATTCTAAGGTAAGGCGTAAATGTATCTCTGATCAAAAGCTCTTGTTTGTCACAAAAGGCTCTTGTCACTTCTAATCTTACCATCAGACACGCCCCTGTGCTATTTTTTCCTCAGAAACTCATTACCAAGCTCTTGAAGTCTTAGTGCATCTGCCTTCGACCTTGCTTTTGCCTACTACGTTCCCCTCCACCCCTCCACCCCTCTCTCCCCCATTCCCTCCCCACCTACCCCTACCACCCCTACCACCCCTCCTTCCCTACCTCCCTCCCTCCCTCCCTCCCTCCCTCCCTCCCTCCCTCCCTCCCTCCCTCCCTCCCTCCCTCCATCCTTCTCTCTCCCTCCCTCCCTCCATCCTTCTCACTCCCTCCCTCCATCCCTCTCTCACGGCCCCCACCTCCCTGCCTGGCTCTCTCCGTTCCTCCTTCCCTCCCTCCAACTCTCCCTAACCCCCACCCCCCTCTCTCTCCCTCCATCCCTCCATCCCTCCGTCCCTCCATCCTCCCCCCCTCTCCCTCCGTCCCTCCTTCCCTCACCACAGCCTCCCTCGCAAACATGAGCCAACATTAGAGCCTCTGAGCTAAATGATTTGTGTTTTGTTCTCTTTTTCCCTACTTGATTATTTTGGTCCTCATGTGTCCTGCTGGTCGAACCACGTTCTACTGCTGCTCCCAGACCTAAGGCAATCATTGATTGATCCCTTCATCCCTCCCTCTCCCCAACCTCCCAGCTTAAAGATTCTGATTCGCATGTGTCCTACTGGCAGGGTGTGGTGGAACCACGCTCTACTGCTGCTGCTATTCGTTCTACTGCTGCTGCCAGACGTATGCCATTTATTTTGAGGCGCCTCAAAATACACCTCACGGCGCCTCAAAATACACCTCACGGCGCCTCAAAATACACCTCACTGCTGGCAGGGTGTGGTGGAACCACGCTCTACTGCTGCTGCTATTCGTTCCACTGCTGCTGCCAGACGTATGCCATTCATCAGTTCCCACGTGAAACGAATGGGGGGGTGTGGTAAGTTCGACTGTTTCAGTCACGTGATACATTTGGGGATTGCCTGATTGTGAGAAAATGTGCAACTCCCAAGGCCTCCTCCTGTCTGCGCTACTGCCTTTGCCTTGCATCACGAATTCGCGTGACTTCAAATTCGTGTCTCGTGACTGAATCTTTGTGTGCCTTTGCTTTGCCTTGCCCTTTTTCCCTCTCCATTCCCATCCTGCACCGCTTCGTCCCTCTTCCCGCTTGTTGGTTTCTTTCTGCCAGTGCCTGAACGCTGTGAAGTCAGAATGCCATCCACCTGGTTTTTCAATGCTGCGTCTTGTGTTGATTGTTCAAATTGGCCTGTCACAAAATGTCATGCATCCCTGCTACACTTTGTCACACCCTTCCTACTTCCTAAGAACTGTCAAAATAACCCCTTCATCTCAGCTTTCCCCTCTCGCCTCTGCACTCTTCCCATCCGCGCTTGCCTCTCTCTCTCCCACTCTCTCTGCCCTGACAGGCTGACCCATCCCAGCTTGTACCTCCAGACGTTCTATGGTCCAAATACTGCACTTCTAGACGTTCCTCCGAAACATAGTTAATGGAACTTGCTTTGTCCATCCGACCCCATTTCATGCTCAGTATGACCAAACCTCACCTTCCCCAATCCCAACCATAGCCCAGAGCCACTTGCTTAGTCCATCCATCTCTACCGCACGCTCAGTATGAGCACACCTCGCTTTTCCTCATTATCAGCACACCTCACATCTCATGAACACACCTCACATCCCCTCAGCATGAGCACACCTCACATCCCCTCAGCATGAGCACACCTCCCATCCCCTCAGCATGAGCACACCTCCCATCCCCTCAGCATGAACACACCTCACATCCCCTCAGCATGAGCACACCTCACATCCCCTCAGCATGAGCACACCTCACATCCCCTCAGCATGAGCACACCTCACATCCCCTCAGCATAAGCACACCTCCCATCCCCTCTGCATGAACACACCTCACATCCCCTCAGCATGAGCACACCTCACATCCCCTCAGCATGAGCACACCTCACATCCCCTCAGCATGAGCACACCTCACATCCCCTCAGCATGAGCACACCTCCCATCCCCTCAGCATGAGCACACCTCCCATCCCCTCAGCATGAGCACACCTCCCATCCCCTCAGCATGAGCACACCTCCCATCCCGTCAGCATGAGCACACCTCACATCCCCTCAGCATGAGCACACCTCCCATCCCCTCAGCATGAGCACACCTCACATCCCCTCAGCATGAGCACACCTCCCATCCCCTCAGCATGTGCACACCTCACATCCCCTCAGCATGAGCACACCTCGCATCCCCTCAGCATGAGCACACCTCGCATCCCCTCAGCATGAGCACACCTCGCATCCCCTCAGCATGAGCACACCTCGCATCCCCTCAGCATGTGCACACCTCGCATCCCCTCAGCATGTGCACACCTCGCTTTTCCTCTCAGCTTTTGTGTAGAGGCAAAGGGTAGCTATTCGTTCAGTCATGATCCTTCATTCACCCATCCATTCTTCATTTTTCCATCTGTCAACCCTTGCTGATGCAGCATGGAAGGTACAAGTCTACAAGACCTAGCCAAGACTGCTGATTTCTCTAAGACCACCTTCTTCTTATCCTATCCGTTCATTCCCAGCCAAGCCGAGTTTCTTGAAGTGCTTCTAGCGAAGCACTTCCCTTTCAAAGCCATCAGCAATGATACTGGTACATCTGAACGAGTTACTATGCTTCACGACGATGTGACAGTGATCGATTGACTTGACTGATCAAAGGAATGTGTAGAAGATGTGACAGGCACTTTTTGAGGTCTTGACCAAAAACCAATAAAAAGCACCCACACTATCGTCAGCACATGTTTCTGGTAAACCTTGGTTTGCAATCTGCGTTTTTAATGTATATCAGCATCAGACTGCACATTAGCTGGGTTTATGTACAAACCAAAAGCAGTAGGTTCCAGTTCCGACCTCCAAGCCAAGCCTTCCTTCCTTACTACGTCCCTCAAGAGATCTCCCTCTCTTTTCAATCTCCTATGACTGCAATCATTGTAGGGATTCTCAATGGGTATCAAATCATTGCTGCTGCTAGGAAGTGAGAATCAAGGGAAACCTGAAATGGGTCAACCTGAAAGGGCAGCTAGGATGGGAGAGGGGTGACCAAGGCGGTGGTGCCACAGGAGAGTGTCGTGCGACAGTCGGCGACACTCACACTGGGTAGCTACCTGGGCAGACGCGTACAGCTGGGGAGACAAAGGGGTGTAGCGCGACGCAGTGGTGAGGGTGTACAGACTGGACCCAGGCGCACGTGTGAACGTGGCCAGGTGACGGCCGGTCCGGGAGCACGTGCAGATCGCCACACGCTGTCCTCCAGGAGTAAAGGTGTCAACCCAGTGATCCTGAAGGACGGCGTTGCTCACCAAGTTCGTAGAGAACGACGGGAGGTGGAGACCAGACAGCTCACCAGACGGGACCGCCAGACACGGAAGCACAGTGGAAGACCGTGCAAGCACTGGGCCCCCAGAGGGGTCAGCCAGTGAGACAGGAACAGGTGCAGGGAGGGGAGTGACTGTGGTACTGTCGCGAAAGAAACAGCGGGAAGCACCAGAGTCAAGTGTAAAGGTGTGCAAGGCCTGTGCAGGTGCAGTACCAAGAGGAGCAGACTCACAAGCACCTAGTGCTGCAGGGGCTATACCAGGGGCTATACCAGGATCCGGCGGCACACACAAGTAGCAGTCACCCTCAGCACTAACAGTCAATGCATACATAGCAGCAAGAATTGCCTCATAGTCAAGATCAAAGATAGGTACATCACGCCTAAGCAAGTCTGCCCAGTTGGGGAACTCAGTAGCATCAGGAAACTTGGCGCGCCAGGCGTCGCTAAGCCGAGCGAAGCAGCGCTGCTCAGTGTGAAACCCTGTGCACTGGCGATTAGCGCGGGGACCTGTGCGAATGATATAGGGGCAGCTACCAGGACCCCCAGAAGCCACACGCCCGGCATACCAGTCAAGAAGCTGCTGGGAAGTGGGGGTCTGGCGCTGACGCTGCTGCTGCTGCTGCTGCGGCTGCTGCTGGCCCTGACCTCCACTGCCACCACCGCTCCCTCCTCCCCCACCGCCGCTGCTGCCACCTCCACCGCTCCCAGTGCCTCCGCTGCCCCCACCACCACCTCCACCACCTCCACCCCCA